AGGCCGCAAGCCAGATTGACTAAGAAAGGCTTGTCCGGGTATCCTAATAGGAACTGCCATTTCTTCAGACCACCAAGGCCTGGGCCAAGACTTTCCACTTCACCTGCAGTCCTCAGCAGCAGCCTGGGCTGCGAGCAGCAAGGCTCCATTTAAAAGGAGCAGGCAGTGACTGGCCCAAAGTCACGCGACCAGTCACAACCGAGCCAGGGCCTGTAGTACTATCCTCTCCCACCTGCCCACTACCTTTCATTTCAGCCATACCATGGACCACACACAGGTCAACAAAAATTTAAAGACATGCAAGAGAATCACAAGCAAGTCAATTATATGAATATTTTCTCTTTTTTTGCTCTTGGGGACTCCATTTGGTAGTAGCAGAAGGGAGTACAATTGGGTTTTTCTGGAAACCTTGGAATTCTCTTGGAGTTAGCTGGTAGCCCAGTGACTGATCTACTCTTCAGATTCCTCCTGTAGGGGCTGGTTAAATTTGATCAAGAGGGGAGCTAAGTATCTGGGTCCAAATGCTTGAAAGGCAGGAGAAGCCTGAAGAGAGGGTCCTTTCATAAGTTCCTTGCGAGGCTCACCCTTCCATCTCTCGAAGGACCCCTTAAAGGATGGCTGGAAAGGCCCCTGAGAATGGACATGCAGCAATGTTCTGTAGCTGGAGCGGGGACTGTGAAGTGCGTGTCCCCAGCCTCCTTTTCCACCTTTATTCTGAGCTCCTAGCCCTTCCCCAGGCACTGCTATGTCTTCCTGCCCCCAGGATAGTCCAGGCTTATGTCTATTATCTGGGTGTAATTACTTTTCCTGATCACTCAAAACTGTTCAGAGTTTGGGCATTCTGTATTAATTCAGATGAACCATAAGGAGATGCTCTAACTGGAGGCACCTGCAGCCCGGGGCTCCAGGGGTTGTCTCTCAGAAGAGCATTTGTGATAGTGGCGTATTAGACATCACTCTTGATTGCAGGTGACCTCAAGTTGACTTTAGTAAGAAAAAAATATATTGGTTTGTATAGCGGGAGAGTTGGAGGCAGAGGTAGGGGTGGGTGGGGAGGAATCAGGCATGTCTGGAACCAAATTCTCAAACGATGTTATGTCTGTCCTTCTTTTCTCTCACCTTCGCCATCTTGCCGACTTTCAGCTCCTGTTGCCTTCACACACGTTAGGTAAACTGGCCTCCGTTCCTACGACGCTGCAGTGGATTTCACATGTGAGAGGGAACGAGGATAATTTGTGTCTGGGGGTCTTTACTGGACACATAAACTGCTCTGAAACAGTGCTTCTGGAAAGACAAAGCCTCTTCTGTTTCTACCTATAGATTCTTCTAGATCCTCCCTGTCTCTGGAAGATGTGATGCTGCCATCCCAGGAGGAGGCACGGAGCTGGTCTGTCCCAGCCATTGCGATGACCCAGCCTGCTGATCTCAGCCCAGGACCCACCAGCCCAGGGACTACAGGGAAACCTGACTTTTATGAGTCTCCAGTTGTAAAAGTCTGGCAAGAGGTCCTACTGCTGTTGAAGGCAGGGTGATTCCTACAGGCAGAGAACAAACGAAAGAACTTGTTCTAGAAGATGGAATGAGGATGATGATGGTTACAGTGCTAGCGCACAGTCAGTCTCTTTTTTAAGGCGTTAAGGGCAGAAGGAAGATGTGAGGGCAGTGTTCCTTCTCTCCAAGCAGAAGGCGAACTGCCTTTGCTCACCTGTGTGGGGCTTGAGAAGGCGGCATCTCTCCATCCTCACGCCGGCAGACCCCCGTGTGCTCTGCGCCTGTACTGTCCCTTTCTACTCTGCTGCTCTGTGGCTTCCCAAGCAGTAGTTCTGGGGACAGTTTCATCATTTCAGTTTGTATTTTTAGTAACAGTTCTTTCTGATTACAAAAATAACACATTAGAAAATTTGGATAATAATACATGAAGGCGAGAAAAAGAAAACCCATGTTGAAGGGCTGAACCCAGAGACACCAATCCCATCGGGATAGCGCCTAGCACTGTATGGACTGCACAATTAATACTCTGCATCCGTTTATTAATTAACATCACATTTGTTTATTGACATCACATCTGTTTCTGCAGAACTAAGCCCAAGATGGCACATAGTAGGTGCTCAGGAATGTACGGACCTGGAGAGAAGATGAACACCACAATAGTAATGTTAGTTAACACTCGTGTTCTGTTTTGTGCTGTAATAATGTATGAATAATGTGAACATTGTGTCATCAAAGCTTTCTAAAATTTTGAATTATTTTCTAGATTTGGGATGCTGGGTTGGAGATTAGGAGTATTTCGATGATTCTTAATACATATTGCAACATTTCTTTCCAGAAATTCTGTCTCTATTATACCCTCAGAAGCTGTATGTAAGCGTGTCTGCTTCTGATTTTAAGTAACAATTGAAAAATGATTGGCTGAATTGGTGCAAGTGGGGTGGGAATGGTATGTCATTGAGTCAATGAACATCTTTTTCTGGTAATACTGAACTTTTAATCTTGACTATTTCTCATCATCAGAATCTCCAATTATGTAAGCTGTCCATTGAGTTATTTTCTATTTATATGTCAGGATCTTCATTTTACTTGATGAATTGTAAGAGTTCTAGTTTATTTTCAGGAATATTTCTCTACTTTCTTAAGCTTTAATTTTTTATGTAAATTCATTTTTAAATTGGAATTAACTTTTTTTCTGATAGTAAAATCAAGGACTATCATGATGGAAAAAATCAGAGACTCTGGAAAATCATAATGAAAAAAGTAAAAATCGCCTACATTCTTGCTTTTGGACTTACATTAACATTTTTGGATATTTTCTTTTAAATTTTAGCCCTACATGCTGAAGGAATTTTTTGAAGTTTAAAAAATTTTGATTTTTAAGTATCACCTAGTTGGCATTTTTTATTTTAATATATCCTCCAATGATTTTGTGCTTAGAAAATTCTTTCTAATCTAGAGATCAGATCAAGAATAACCTTTAAAGATAGAGCTGTGTGTTTTTGGCTATGAGGCATTAGCATATTATAGCTGATTCAGGAAATTAAGGAAAAAACCAGCCAAATGCTTTCACCTTACCATGAGCATTTATTTTTAACTTTAGATGTTTTAATTGCATGCAAAATTTCCCATCTTTTTCTTTTTATTCATAATTATAAATATCATGTAGCTACATGATCTCTTTAAAAGTTATTTCAAGTGAATACCTACTGGCTTCTCCAATGGCTGTGTCATCTACCTGACCCCATCCCATGATAACCATTTAAGTTGCTTCCATTTTTTTTTGTCAAGAGATATTTTGGAACACTGAAGGCCAACAAAGCAGACTCTCTCACTGTTCCCTGGGGCTGGCTGGAAGGAGATGTGACTTGTGCATATTTCCTCTTTTCCTCAGAGGAGCCTTGGAAGAAAGTGCTTGAAGAGAATGGTCAGAAAAATGCCAAAGGTAAAATTAGGAGGAGTGAAGCCAGAGATGAAAGCAAACTGAGCTTTTAGGAGAAAGCTGCTTTAGAGAGACAGGCTGTACTATTTAGGTTTTTTCTTTTGTAGCTCCTAAATTGGGCATGAGTTTATAATAATGATTAGACAAAGTGCTTTCTACTTGGTGCCTTTTCTTGGGAGGTGTTTCCCTGTATCAGTTGGTGGATTTAGGGCAGAAGAGCTGGATTTGGATTCTGCCAATTGCTTGTGCAATGAAGCCACTTTGAAACCTTTGTCTGCAAAATAAAATTAGTAATAGGGCAGGGGCTGGCCCGTAGGCATGGAGAAGTGATGGGAAGAAGCAGGAGTAGCCAGAGAGAGTGCTTGCGGGTCGTCCAGGCCAAGTGAAGAGAGAACTGGCTCTGTAAACCCAGGTTGAAGAGTATTCCTGGGTCTGTTTGTATGGGAGCTTTGGTGAGTGGTAATGATGCGCAAGGATCCTTCCTGCCCCTTCCTGAAGCTCCCAGGGACCCAGTCCTGTGCCTCTGTGTGCACTGAAATATCTGGGCCTCCAAAGCAGGGTCCTCTCTGCCTTCCACTCAGTTCACAGGCCCTAGGAAACCCTGCAGGGCCAAGGTCCAGCCTCCATGGCATCAAAATGTTACTTACCATTCATAAGAGGCGCTATGATTTGGAGGACTGCTGTGGATGCGTTCAGCAGACTCAATACATATTTATTAATTTGGAATAATTGTTTTTGGGCTGTCGGTAAAGTCGGCTAGCAACAACCTTTTCTTGTCTTTGAATGATGATCCTTAACCCTTTTTTCTTTCAGCCAGAAATAGAAGCCCTCCTGGTCTGGGTCGGGTGTGTGGTTGGGGGGTCTCTCCTGGCCTGGCTTGTGGCATGGAAGTAAGAGTGCTGGGGCGGTCGTGGAGAGAAATGCGATGATGCCCCTGGAGCAGGGCCAGGCACACACACACCGAGCGCTCAGTCACGCGAGTCTGTGATCATAGTAATAATAATAATATTAATAAACGGGAAGTTCAAGGGGCTAGGACGGGCACAGGGTGCACCAGGCCGGGCGCAGGCACGGGGAGTCCCAGGACACCCCGGGTGGAGAAGGGTGCGCAGCGGCTGGCGGCCGCGCCGGTGCCAAGCAGAGTCAGCCCGGGGTGGGGGGGTGGCGAGGGGTCCGGTGCGCTCTCCCCGCACCCCTGGTTTTAGCAGCCCATTATCCTCTCCCCGGCCCAGTTCCCAGGCCGTGGGGGTGACTCCCGGGGAAGAGAACCCAGGATCGTCGCGGTCGTCCCCGCCCCGGGGCGGTGTCACCCTGCGCCCCCCCCCCCAGTCCTGCGCGCCGCCCGCCCCGCACCTGCGCGCGCCTCTCCCCCGCCCGCCCAGGCCGGGGCGCCGGGGTGGCCCTTTAAAAGGCCGCGTCCCGTCCAGGGGGGCGGGCGGGGGGCGCTGACCATCGCCCGAGGCCCGGCCCCGCCCCTCCCCGCCCCGGCCCGCGCTCGCCCGCGCACGCTCCGCCCCCCAGTCCGCCGGCGTCTCGGTGCGGCGCGGAGCCGGGGCGCGCGGGGCGCTGCCGGCTGGGGACGCGGATCGGGCCCGCCGCGGGGCGAGGGCTGCGCCGCGATGGCGGAGATGGGCAGCAAGGGGGTGTCGGCGGGGAAGATCGCCAGCAACGTGCAGAAGAAGCTCACCCGCGCGCAGGAGAAGGTGAGCCCGCCGCGCCCGCCGCACACCTGGCTCCCCGCCCCCACCCGGCGCCGGTCCCCCCGACCCCGCGGCCCCGGGGCCGCCGCCTGCGCCCTGGCGCTCTGGACGGCCTCTGCGGCCGGGGTCCTCCGCGGGGCCCGGAGGGGACGCGGCTGTCGCCGTCCCAGCCCCCACCCCGCCCCAGCGTCGTGTACCCCGCGGCGCGTCTGCGGCCAAGAGCGGCCCACGCACCGGGCGCCTCCGGGTCGCGAGGTCTGGGCGCCCCCCGCCCGGGGGCTGGAGACGAGGGGACCCCCAACCCTGCCAGGCCGCGCGGACTCGCCGGCGGGGCGGGCGCAGACCCGCGCCTCTCCCCGGGCACCCCGCGCGCCCGCCCCGCCCCGCCCCGGGCCCCGGGCGCCTCCTGCGCCGCCGGCCCCGGCCCCGCCGCTCCTCGTGCTCCCCTCCTGCCGGCGCGGGTCGGAGTCCCCTCCGAGGGGCGCCCGCGCCGACGCTCTGGCCTGCCCGGGAGCCGCGGGCTGCGCGCCCCGCCGGGAGGTGCCCGCTGGCCTCGGCGCTTCCGGCGGCCGGGAGGGGGGGCGGCTCGGACTTGGGGGCCCCGCGCCGGCCGGAGGGGGCGCGGCGGGGGCGTGGAGGGCCCGGCTGGGAATCCGGCCGCTTTGCGCCGGGAGTCGCGGCCCCTGGCGTGGGAACTGGGGCCGGGGCACCCCGACGGCGCAGGAAATGTGGGCTCGGGGGCGGGGGTCTGCGCGGCTCTGCTCTCTCCCCCTCGCCACCTTCGGGGTATTACGGGGATCACGCCAGCGGCTGACGCCACTTCCCCCGCCGGCTCCGGCTCTGAAACCTGATAGTGCAGAGACTGCGCTCGCGCCTGGGGGGACCCCGGGGTGCCCCTACCCCTAGCGGAGCGGGGCCCTCTCCCGACCGTCGGGAGGCCACGTGGGGACGGAGGGGCTGGCTGGGCCTCCACGGCCAGGCTTGCGGCTGTTTATAAACAATGACTTTTGCAGCTGAGACCTGCGGCTCCCCAAGGATGCGGTCACGTGACTGGGCGGGAGGGGGTGTGTGTGGGGTCGGGGGCGGCGGGCGCTTCCCCTGACTCTGGCTCACGGTCCTGTAGCTCGTCCTTACGGGCCTGGACGCAGGACGCTGAAGGGCCTGCAGCCTGGCTCCAGACCCGGCTGGCCTCCGCTGCCCAGGCCCTTCCCCCGACAGGAGGAGGGAGTGGAGTGCCACAGATAGCTGGCTGGGGGCTGGGAAGGCTGCAGTCGCCCAGGTTGGGGGTGGGGTGGCAGATGCTGCTCCCCACCCTCTTCCCAGCACTGGGTAATCCCTCTAGGTGCCTGGAGCAGGCTGCTCTGGGTGACAGCACTGCCTGCTTCGCAGGGGCCCTCGGAAAATGAATGGCAAGCAGGGGGTTAGCTGGACAAGGGCCTGGCCCCACTCCGCGCTGACCTACTGCGCCCCGGCGACCCTTTAAAGGCTCTTGCTGTGTCCTCTTCACCCTGATGGCCTCGTTTCTGTGGCAGTCTCTTCCAGGCATTTCAGGAGCAGCAGACATGGGCCCTGTTCCCTCCGTGTAAGTGGGATGTGTCATCACTGACCCCACCCCTTTCAGCCCCCTGTGCTGACCGGCAGCTGGTGGGGTATGGATGTGCGCCTGGGCCAAGGGCTGGCGCCCGCTGAGCCTGCAGGGTTTCATGACACTGGAGAGTCTTAGTGCCACTCTGCCCTGGGTGCTGGGTTAGCAGCAGCCAGAGCAGCGGGGCAGGTCTGCTGGCTGCATCTCTGAAAGCAGCCTTTCTTTCCTGCCTGCCCTTGGGCTCTGCCCCATCCACACCAGTCTGTCCTTTTTGCCATTCTGTGGCACGGAGCCTGTCACGCCCAGGTGCCCCTGACTCGGCTGCCCTCTTAGCTTGGTCTGGCTGCATTCAGGGCCAGCTTGCACTGTCGGTGGTGTTACAAGCACACATCCCTCCCACCCCCAACCCGTCACATCAGTGAATAATGAGGCAATGTCCTGTTTTTCTAGAAGGCTATTTCCTGATCTAGGATAAGCAGGGCTTTGTGCTAGATAGTGTAGATACCAGATAGCATCCCCATAGACGGGTCTCCTCTCCTCCCTCGATTTCTGCACTTCCCTTTCAACCCAAACACCCACCAGGATTCACTGGGTGACATTGTGGTCAAGGAGAGCTAGCGCTCCTCTGCCCTCCTGGCTTGGCATCACTCATCCACCTGCCTGCCTCCTGCGTTGCTCTGGGCGCTCCCGGAGGCCATGGTGTTCACCTGGCCCCAGCCCATGTTGAGTAACTGTTAATGAACAAATTGGCTGGGGAGCCTGGCACAGGCCTGTGGGCGGTCTGAGTGGTGAGGCTGCTCTACCATGTTCCCTCATTTAGCAAATCCTGCCTGGATACTTCCCTGTGCTGGTCCTGGGTGCAGCCTGTGGGGGGAGGGGGTACGCAGGGTTCTGTGCTGATTGTTCTCCGGCCCCTGGTGTAAGGAGGGCATGGGATGACATCAGCAGGGGCAGCCAGCATGTCTGTCCCTGCTGCGACTAGCCCCAGTTATCCCCAGAGTGCCGGTGCTGTGTGCCTGAAGCCCAGGCCCATGGGCGCCATGAGGTCATCTTCTCACAGTGTTTGGCTTGCTGGACCCTGTATAAATGTCTATGTCCATTTTTGGGCCTCAGAACGGTGGCTGGGCAGAGTCAGCTTTGGGTGGAACTGGATCAGATGACAGAGAGGATTAGAGTTGGCGGGCCGGGCCCCTGGGCAGTGGTTGGCATGGGATGCTTGGGGAGAAGGGACAGCTGGAGGTAGGAGTGAATCTGGCCTCCCGGCCCTGTGGTCCACCGCCCAGAAGTTGTCGTGGAGTGTGCTCGGGGGAGGCGGGCCTGGTACTGGTGGAACAGGGCTGAGGATGAGCACGAGGAGAAAGGCCCAGCAGGGTGTGTTCAAGTTCTCAGGGAGGGGCGCAGGCTGCTTGGTGGGGAGTCCAGCTGGGGGATGTGGGGCTCAGGGCTGTGAGTGGACACACAGCACAGGCCTGGAGGAACAGATGCTTGCTAGAGGAAGGCCCAGTGGCAGTTATTTATAGAGCCCTGACACATGGCCAGGGCAGTGCTGCTCATCTGGGGATCAGGGTCTCTTCACGCAGGAGCCATGTTGGCGGCCTCCACAGGGGGAGCTGGCCTTGTCCTCACGGCTGCTATATGAATAGCCATGCCCTGCCTGGAAGCCCCCCTAGGCCCCTGGAGGGTCTCTGAGGCCCCAGGCGCCTTCCACCTCCCTTCTTGCCCTGTCTCCAGTGATAGTCGCTCACCTCCACCGACATTCTCTCTTTCTCTCTTCAGGTCAGGGTCTGTCCTTGTTCTTGAGAAGCTGAGCCCTTTTCCTGCTCCTTTCTTGTCCGGCCCTGTGCTGTCTCTTCCTCTCTTCCTCCGGTCTACATAAACTTTTTTGTATCCCTCCAGTTTGGGCTCATTTACTTATGTAGATGAGCTCGAACTGACTCATGCAGATGAGCTCGAACTGACTTGTGTAGATGGCTCATCTCGCTTGCTGGAGGACACTCCTGAGTGTATCTTCCCAAAGTGGGGTGTATATGGGGGAGGTGGACGTTGAACTAAGGAATGAGAGCAAGAGTGGGTCGGAAGCACATCCTGCAGACGTCTCTGGTCCAGCAGCCCCTGAGTGGGGTGCAGAGGCCTAGCCTGCTGCTTCATGGGAGGGCTCACTGTCAGGCAAAGGCTGTTCTACCCATGGGCCTGTAGAGGTCAGTAACTCCTGGGCTTCGTGGGCCAAGAGAAGGTTCTCAGGAGGGACAGGTATGGGTCAAGGTGAAGGGTGAGAGCGACCATCTTAAGAGAGGGACGTCAGCACTGTGGGGGTGGCCGGAGTTAGGTTTGGGTCAGATACAGTTTTGAATGCAGGGGACATGTTTGTATCCCACAGAATCTCAGAGAAACTGAGGTTTCAACCCTTCTCCCCCTTTACTCACAAATGACTTTGTCCAATTCCCCTTCTCACCTTTGCTGTCTGGTTTCTGACCAGGCCCTTGTCCTGGACAGGTGATGGCAGCCCCACTCTAGCATCCTTATAAGCTGCGTGATTCGGACAGTGTGAGGCGAATGCTCTAGTCACTCCCTCTGGCCTTTACCCAAGAGCCAGGCCTTACATAGTTCTTTGACCATGATATTTAAGGATTCCTGGGTCCTACCCTGTACAGGCCTTTTGTCTTGCCATAGAAGAGAAGGCCCCACAGTGCCAGAAAACGCGTGGGTTTGGCGGGCAGGCTGTCCAGGTCTTCCACTGGGCCTTCCTGAGCCCTGTTCCCTCATGTATAAGTGGGGGTAGTCATGGTCTTCTTCACATGTCCATGGTAGAGAGTGAGGCCTCTGACAAGCACCCAGCCCCTAGCAAGTGCTCACACGGTGCGAAGCGGTACAGTGAGCCTGCACTGCAGCTCAGGCCCAGCCCAGGCCTCTCCCCAGCCCTCACCTGGGAGTGTCTGTTGCAGCTCTGTGGACAGCTAATCCAGGCTGAGCCTTAGCTGGTCAGGGTTTACGATGCCCATTCCTGTCCCATTCCTGGGTGTGTGGGGGGTGGGGTGCCCGAGTGCCTGCAGCAGGGGAGGGCTTGGACTCAGAACCACATAGTTCCAGGGTGACTCCTGACCCAGGGCAAGTTTTCTCCTTTCTGTGCTTCACTTTGGCCAACAGCACAGGGATCGTGGGTTTACTTATTCTTTCATTTATTTGTGAAACGCACACTGAGTCCCCCCTCTGTGCTGGGCACTGTTCTGAGGATGGGTGAGACCGGGGTGAATGAAACCAAGCCTCTGCCCTTAGGGAGCCTACATTTTATCTGGGGAGCCAAGGGAGAGAATGCCAGCTACCATGGCAGGTGGTTATAGGATCGGTGTGGTTGGGGTTTTCTGCAGTGGGATGGATTGCTGACTTCGCCTTTTGCCAGCGTCCCCTATCTGACCCTGCT